GAATACGAACAATTATACCTGGCAAATAAATTCATGCATAATCCTCGTGTCATTTTAACCTTATTAACTGAAAAAATGAATAAATATTTTCAATTGCAATTTTGTAGGACCTTAAAGGCATAGTTCCTTTAACTCTGACCTTAAAATAAGCAAAATGAACAAGAATAAGAAAAAGATATATTATTTTTTCTCAGACATCAAATGGCTTTGATACAAACCTTCTTGTCAGTAGGTTTTACAGTTTGAAAAATACTGATATAATGTTGTTAGGGAATTGAAAATTGTATGAACATCTTTTTTCATTTGGTTTATTTGTACAACATTTTTTAAATTGTCACATATTATGCCAGAAATACTGATATTTTCTGAAATTGTATTCAGGGGTTTAAATTCTTCATCTCCCACTCACAATTGCACTACAAACAATATGAAATGAAAAAATCAATAATTGAAATCAGAAATCCCTATCTATATAATGCTATCTATGTAAAACATATGCCTACGTAGTGGAAATCATGTCCGCAGCTGTACTGTATGAATAATTTGCACTTGCATGCATTAGATACATAAAATATGGATAGCACAGAATCAACTGGTTTGATGAGTAGTAGGAAAACTAAGCATATCTATACAGAAATATATCCTGATACGACTACAACTACATCGGCAGGAAATAATTTCTTAAAGTAGGTCTTCATTTTCATAAATAAAGCAGATTTTCATTTGATGATGAGTCATATTCAGACTGTATTAATATTTATTCTATTATAGGCTCACGTGGAGATTTTATGAAAATTTGAATCGTTCGAACTCCGTGACTTTCTCTTCTTGTCACTGACATATACTTTATTCATGAGGGTACAGTAGGGCTCATACACAAAATCCAGGCTTACAATCGTCTGATTATTTAGAATGGAAATAGGTTTGATCTTCGAATTTTAGAGTCTGTAACTGAACTTGTCCATATTTGCACCCGACTTACTACTCCAATACCTAGTCCCACCCTAGGGTATAGTCAGTGGTTCTCTTAACAGCAAACAAAAGGTATTTTTGCGGATCAGGTTCTTTTATTACAAATTTTAATTATGCCACCTTGGATTGAAAATCGAACTGGTAAGCCAGTATCTACGCAGGTTGGGTATAATCAGCAGTCAGAAGACACCAAGTTTGGAAGTCTCCAAATTTTTTGTGGACGGTGATTGGTGCTAAGAGTTTGGTGGTTGGTGTTCAGCATCTGTAACAAATGGCAGGTGGTGACATTTTGCATCTTACTGCCTTGTATGATACAATGTTGCAAAGTGATATATATTATTGTAATATAAGACAATGTTGTAATGTGATATATATTATTAAGACAATGTTATAATGTGATATGATATATATTATTGTTGTTATGTGATACGATGTTGTAATATGATACAATGTTGTTATGTGATATGTGATGTTGTAAATTGATGTTGTAATGTTGCAGGATTAAAATGAACAGTCAAGAATCTGCAACATCCCAAGATTGGTTCTCCAGCGCCTTACATACCCAGGATAGGTACATCTCCACCCTGAAGCAGTTGATATTAACATGTAGTTTATTAACCCCTGTTGTTATGAGTGGTTGAATGTTACATTTCCCTGGTTAGGTACAGCTCTACCCTGAAACAAAGGATATTAACATGTAGTTGATTAACCCCTGTTCTTATGAGTGGTTAAATGTATCCCTGGAACGGTACATGTCATCCGCAAACCAATGAATGTTAACATTGTAGATTAACTCTATAACTCTATAAGATCCTTATTGGTGGTTGAATGTTTGATGTGGAAAATACTGAAAAGCTGCAGACATTTACAATTTTTAGTGGTGTTAGGAATCAATTTTGAAATTCTGCTGTTTCCGGGTTGCATTTTTATTTAACTCTAATGGGAAATCATAGGAAAAGTTATTGAAAATTTCATTGATAAAAGGCTACTTTAGCTTTACCAGTTTCTGGGGAATTAGACAACAGATTAAATCTGAAATCATGATTGCTTTTTCCTGATAAAAACATAACTCAGCTTATCATATGCCATGTCAGTATAACACTGCGTTTCAATGTGTCATGTAGAATTTTGATTAAGTATGAGGAAAACATGCAAAAACTGAAAAAAATGTATTTTTCAGAATTTTGATGTTCATGGGTAAAACAGTTAAGTCCCTTAAAACAACAGATGATTTTAGTAAAAACAATGAGTGAAAATCACCTGTTGCAAAATCAACTTGCATTTAGAATACATTTTTAATCTGAATTCAACATGACATGACTTGTTTTACTTCAGTAGCAATCTTGGTCACCTATTCTGATACTCATCACATCTTTCTGTTTCACCTAAAACATGATCTTAACAGTTAAGGCTAAGGAGAAATTAATTGAATTGGTACCGGTATGATGTTTCTTGGGGTTTTTTGCACTAGATTGCATCAGATCAGTTCAAGCCATTTCTTGTGTCTTTTCATTGGACTGAGCATGTATTAATATTTTAACCTTACTAACCAGGCCTGAAGTTAGGATTTGCCAAGGGGGTTCACTTTTTGAAATATTCCAGGGAGTTGTTTGTTTGGCCAAATTCACTTGAAAAGTGCTCATATTGGTGAAAAACTGCATGATTTTGAAATAATTTTTGGCCGGCCAGGGGGGTTGACTGAACCCCCCCCCCTGGCTATGGGCCTGCTAACAAACTAATATTTTTTGAAAACATAACATAGGTGACCTGTTCAATTGTTAACATTTAACTCCCATACTTGTCAACTGGCTTTCAAGATGGTGACATTTTTTCATTTCATGTTAATGGCTTGTTTACTTAACATTTGGGCATCATTGCATATTCCTGTTGAAATCATGAGATTATAGCGGGAGATTTTAAGTTGGACTCATTTGATATAAGATTCTTAAGCTTCTGTTACCCTTTTCAATATTTCAATGTCATTTCTGATGTACTCAGAGGGACGATTTGTCCTGTTATTGTTTAAGTTTCCGGATAGATTTAGCATGTAACCTGGCAATTGATGATATAATATGCATGTTATACATATGCATGTAATACTAAGCAAATATTTCATTCTATGGAGGGCAATACCTGTTCATCTTTCAATGATTTTTGCATCATGTATTGCCCGCAGCCCGGAGGGCGAGGGAAATACATGCTGCAAAAATCATTGAAAGTGCAACAGGTATTGCCCGAACATAGAATGAAATATTTGTTTTATTATATCATTGCTAGACATTCGCTTACTTTGCAGACTGGCACTCTTGTAATATTCCCCATCCTTCGTTCGCAGTTCCCAAAAAAATCCTCTAAAATTCCATCCAGAACGATTTTATCGATAGATTTAACGTCTATTTCGTCCGTGGACATAACACTTGAAAATGTTCTAAGACATTAGATGTCATTCCGTTGATTTAATGGTGTTTTTAGAATGCACATCCCTCAAGATGTCGTTCTTTTCATCGGAATTCAGACTTTTAAATCTTTTTCCGTCTGCCATTTTGATGCACGTCACAACTGTACTGGACGAAACGGGACGATTAAGAATTCCCGGGCGGGCAATACGCCGGGCAATACGTCTTTTATAATTCCAAAATTAAGGGAGCTGTGGAATACGCTTTAGAGAGGAATGATATGATAATATTTATTATCTCATACTTGAGTAGGTTTTATCACCCAGGAATATATATCATATCTGAGGAACGGGCAGGATATATTATATATGTCCCGCTCCAGGCCAAATGCGGGCAGATATAATATATTCATCCCGCTCCCGGGAATTTTGGTCGCTCAGGGAGATATAAATATATCCCTCAGGATATACCCTATATCCAAGACCTTACCCCCCCCCCCTTTTTAGGAAGGAAATTATTGTGTGGTATTGTGTTTGCAAGTGTGTGATCTACCCCCTCTCCCTTACTTTTTTTGAAACTGGGCATGGGGGTATCACTAATATAATTGTTAATCAGGGTTTAGAACTTAAAGATGCCTGATTGCCAATGGCAACCACTTCACTCTTGGCGATGAACTTGGAATAACTGGTTACCTTTAGGGCAATAAACAGAATTTGTTAAAGTAGGGCAGGGTATTGTTTCGAACCTTTTATTAAAAGAAATCTCATATCAGGTCCATGGAAAGACAATAATATCAGATGTTACTCTAGTGTTCTTTCCAAGTTTTTTTCTCAAGGAGAACGCAAAATTTTCATTATTCACAACCAAGACATAAATTGCTCAAAATATGCTATTTCTGAATTTCTCATTTTTCAAGTATATGCAGGATTTATTCTCAAGTGGGTGCAAGTCTCATCAAAACCAACGCCCATTTGTTTTATTGCTGGCGATATCACCGTTTTTGATTTATTCCATGAATTTCATGAAATTGCTTCCAAATTAGAACATTACCCTGTAGCAAATGATATATTTACTATTTTGAATCACAGCTTTATTGATTCAAAATGTGATTACGATCCATATAACAACAGACGAATGGCTTAGATGTACTTTTCATATGGCCATTGGGAGTCATTATAACCCATCAAGGTATTTTACATGAATGAAATGAATGATTGGGAGTCTCAGCGATTTTCTGGATATTTATTATTCTAAAGTACAGTAAAATTTGAATGAAGTGGAACAACTTGGTTCCTCAAACTAGTGTTCCACTTGGTATGTGTATATGTTCCACTTCTATAAGTTTAATTATATAAAGTCCAACTAGTGTTCCCCTCGGGGGCAGGGGGGGTTGAGCTAAGGTCCTGAGATCATTCGTCAAAATTTCATTCCAGACCAGTTGCCATGTTATTTTCCTATACCTATAGAAAAATCAACTGGGTCATTTTTAAAATAACCTGACAATAACCAGTAGACCTGCCCTTAGCTCAAGCCCTGAGTAAATTCCATGCTAATTTCTTACCAGTATGTAGCACCCTTGTAGTCTTCAAAGAGTTAAGTCCAAGCTAATTCCTTGTTTTTTTGTATTTTCAGTTTAATGATGGCAAACCAGGCACCTGTCCCCGCCAACAATGGCATGTTAGATGATGATACTTTTGAAAGGGATCTCAAAGAAATGTTAGAAGATGGGCCTGCACTTAATGATATGAGCAGGTAAATTCAATAAACTCTTATTAGTGAAAAAGAATACCCTCACAGTTGCCCTAAATCAATGTTATTTGTTCCATGTAAACAGGTGTTCTTTATAGAGGTGAGTTGGTTTGTTTACATGAAAGTCAATAAAAAATATTTGGTTCTTTTGAAAACTATTTCTTGCCTGCCTGACCCCTACATTATTAATCCTATTGTAATTCTGTCACTTATCCCCAAAACTCCTGCCTTCCCTACTGATTCAATAAAGAGATATGAATTTTATTTTTTCAGTCCTGTCCAGGGTGGAAACGTAACAGCACAGAATAAGCCCGCCATGAATAACCCGCCCCCGATCTACAGAGCGCAGGATGACTCGGCACATCTCCCCACACGTTTGCCACAGTCTGATATACCACGATCTCAGAGTATGAATATACCCCCAGGTGAGAAACATTATTTTCATGTCACCCTGTGGTGGTGACATACTTTTATAGTCTCAAACTTTTTTTGTGGATGGAGTTTGGCAGTTGGCATTAAGATTTTGGTGTTTGGAGTTCAGCCTTCGGTGTCTGTAACAAATGGCATGTTAATGTATTGTTGTAACCAGCAGATGGTGTTTAAGTAGCATCTGTAACAGATTGTCACACTTTTGTAACTGCTACCAATTGGTGACTTTATGACATGTTAATTTCCTGGTCGTATTTAGGTCACTTTTGTGGATTTGATCCCCTCTGCCTTGTCTATAATGTATTTTTAGAAGTCATATTAGCACTTTGCATTTTTGCACTTTATGCATTCAAAATTTGCTTGTAGATTTTCAATATAAAAAATGCAATAAGTTATGTTTGATTTCAGTGTCTCGAGATATCCCACTATCAGGGAGTCAAACAAACGGAGCAGGGGCAAATGGGGACTTCAACCCAAAACAACCATTAACACAACAAGCTGCATCCAAAATAGACTTGCTTAAAACTTGGAGTATAAATACATATAAATGCACAAAACAAATGCTATCAGAGCGCCTTGGAAAAGGCTCAAGGACGGTAGATTTAGAATTAGAAGCCCAAATTGAAGTTTTACGTGATACTCAGAAAAAGTATGCTAATATTTTACGATTGGCTAGAGCATTGACCAATCATTTTTACCATGTGGTTCAGACGCAGCGTGGTTTAGGGGAAGCATTCACAGAACTTAGTCAGAAGTCACCGGAGCTTCAAGATGAATTCACATACAATGCAGAGACGCAAAAAAACTTAACCAAAAATGGCGAGACCCTTTTAGGTATGTACAAAATATTCAAAAAATGTATGTTAAAAGACAGTGAAATTCATGATTTTTATAAACCTGTCCATACAACCCTTTCATGCATGAACTGATTCAAATAAATAATTAATGTCAATAATAAATCATTTCACTTCCAAAAAAATTCAATAGTTCCATTAGCGTAGCGGAGTGAGTGAATTTAGAAAGAAGATAAGGCAAAACAAGCATTTTATTATCAAACTATGGTCTTGGAAAACACCTATTAATACAGGGTTCGTACACACCTGGAAATGTCAGGGAAATTGATTTATTTTTCCAGGTGCTGGAAATGTCAGGGAATTTTAAAATTGGGTCAAAAAGGGCCAAATATGTCAGGGAATTTTGAAACAGTAGATGTGTCAGGGAAATGTCAGGGAATTTTGTATCAATGTTTAAAAAATAATGTTCCAGCAAAATACATTTTAGGGCTATGACAGGATATAAGTGAAATCCCAAATCATTTACATATAGTTGTTTCCACAAATTGCAAATCTTTTCATTAGGGTTGATTGAATGACATTAGATCTGGTATTGTCTATTTGTAAGAACAGTGTGAACATTATACTGAAACTGAACAATAAAGATCATGTATAGATGATTTAATACAATTATGCTTTTTTATGTAGTAAGCTTAGTCTTAGGCCATTCAAAGTTAATTACTGGTATATATTTCATGGTTTGATGAGGGGTTAATCTGAGGGGGGGGGGGGGCGGGAGGTGAAAAACAAAAAAAATTCTGGGAGCTCTTTACAATGTAAAATTGTATTTATATTAAGAAACTGTCTGTTCGACAGTCCGATCGTACGTCAGTCTTTCAACTTTCAGGGGCGTTGCCAATTTTGAAAACCTTAACACATGGAAGTAGGCAACCAAAATGTGTGTGGGGTACTATTAACAGTTTTTGAATTTGGTCCAAATTTTTCTTCTTGTAAAGATGAACCCAGCATTTTACTTTGGCTCAAATGTTGTATGATGTAGCCTTAGAGACAAAGGACCTGCTCAAGAAGAAATATTCAAGATGGTCTCTGAATTCATTTTTTTATGAAATTTTTGATAATTTAAAGAAATTTGATTCCTGATAACACAAATACCGATTATTTGATTTGGTATCATAGGCCTGAGCCTTTTCGTGATCTGGTGATGCTACTTGAGAAGGAATTTCTAATATGGTGTCAATTGTTTTGGTGCAATTTTCCCAAAAGGGAGAAGAAAATAGTAATGCCGGGTTATTGCTATCATATAATGTTCACAATGATAGTATTCAATAGAAATATGTTTCATTAGGTGGGAATTGCCCCTCAAGTGAGTATTTTTCTAGTAGGATTTAGATCAAAGTTTTAAAGTTTCAGTTGTCATTTGGATTGATTACAAAACATTAACAAATTATAGTTTGAAATGCTTAGAACTGGGACCTCCGTACCCCCCCCCCCCCCTTGGGCTTCTTTTGCCCTCAGTGATGCAAACCAAAAAAATACACCCCCTTGACACTTGCTGGCTTCACCCCTATAAATGTATGTTTACCTTTGGCCTTATGCAATGTAAAATATGTCATATTAAAAATAAATGTATCAGGAATAAATTGGTGAATCAGATGGCCTGTACAAGTAGTTAAGTCATGAGAAATGGTACTGAAGGAGAAACCCAAATGTTTCATAATAAGTCTTTTTGTCTTGAATAATACAGTTGTTTGAGACTTTTTAGAGGGCGCGTGAGGAAAATTAGATCTGGAAATTTCCTTTATTGCCTGGAAATGTCAGGGAATTGTCAGGGAAATTCATTTTGAAAAAGGTGTACGAACCCTGTAATATTTTATTTACAAATTGTACTAATTTGTTTATTTTGATATAAATCACCTGGAAAAGCAAAAATAATAGCTATAAACAGACCCGTTTTGATGTTTTTTCATTTACGTCTGCTTTGTCACAATTGCATTATGGGTAATCTGGATTTCAGGTGCAATGAATTTCTTCACATCGACTGTAAATACTTTGTGTAACAAGACAATGGAGGATACCTTATCAACCGTGAAGCAGTATGAACAAGCTAGGTAGGAATTCACATTGTATTTTTAATTTTCGGGACTTTCATTCAGTTATCGATTAGAATATTTAGTCTTATCACTCTATTTCTGTTCCTAATAAATACAATTTACAGTAAAACCTGTATATCTGCACACCTCTTTTGTCTGAGTACTTCTCAATGTGAATGCTTATCTTGGTCCGAATGTTGTTATCTTCCATTGAATCACATATTACGAGACCTTGAAATGTAGACATATGGACACTTTTGAATGTTCCCAATGGTGATTAAATTAGACAGGTTTCACTGTATTTTTATTTTTGGGACTTTCATTCAATTAGAACCTTAAGTCCTCATCCCTCAACTTCCTAAACACTCTTTTATAATACTGTTGTCAGCCTCCTTTAAATGCTTCCATTTTAGGTTTGTATATGTCGTCTGCTAAAGCAACTGTTGCATTGTGGGTATGCAACATACAAGCTACAAACCATCTGCATTATGGGTACATTTCATATTGGAATATATGTCGTCTGTTAAAACATTTGTTGCATTATGGGTATGTTTTAGGTTAGAATATGACGCTTATCGAACTGACGTAGAAGCTCTCAATCTTGGTCCTAGGGATTCTACAAACATTCCAAAGATAGAGGAGGCCAACAAAAAGTTTGCAGGATGTAAATCCAAATTTGATAGACTCCGAGAGGATGTATCTGTGAAATTGAAATTTCTTGAAGAAAATAAGGTATGTGGCAGGTTAAAAAAATTGTATACAACATGAAATTACATTTCATTTATATGCAGTAGTTGAGCTTATCTTTGTCAGTTTTTGACTTACACAATCAGAGCCTATAGGATTGGGAAGACATCCCCTTCAATTCATCTGTTATTATTACATTGGTGTTACTGAACAAAAACTGCTATTATAGGTATTAGGTTGAATGAACATTGATTTTATATTTACACAGTGTTTACATGTATTTGTCATGAAGTCGCCATTTTCCAGAGTTCCAAAGAAATTGGCGATTTTGGTGTCAAAAAGTTACATTTTGTAAATATAATTGAGAGTATGTAGATTGTAGAAACTGTGATGTTTTGTATTATATTAGAAACCTGCATGTTATTCTTTATAGTTTGTACATGTATGCAATAGATAAGTTAGGGGTGGGGTCAAAAGGTAAATGTTCATATGGAAACGAAAGTATATTGTTTGGACAATATAACATAATATAACAACAAGCCCCCACCCCCTCTATATCTATATGAAAACTTAAAAGCCTGAAAAACCTCCCCCTCACAAAAGTACAAATGAACATCAATATTTTGACCCCATCCATTAGTGGTATGTGAATATGATAAAGCACAAATTTAGGAATGTTGACTTCACCCATTTAATGTTGTCTGCACAAACACTGCTGCATTATGGGAAATCTTTATTTCCAGGTACGTGTAATGCACAAACAACTTTTGTTGTTCCACAATGCCATTGCGGCTTACTTCTCTGGAAATCAAGCGGGTTTGGAGAACACGTTGAAACAATTTAACATCAAGCTTAAGGCGCCCAATAGCGGAGGTCCTAGCTGGATCGAGAAATAGACCCCCATCCCTTGTCTGCCTGTCTGTACTGTGGTGTGTAGATTCTATGTTCTTTAGTTTTAGGGTATTGGAGTGGGAAGAATATGTGTTAGGGTTTTAGCAATGATATATTGTAGTTAATTATAAATTTTATCTCGAAGATAAAAAGCATCTTGCGTGAAATCAAAAACATTGCAAAATATTATAAAATTATCCTTTAATTTTTGTTTTTATATTTTCTTTATTTTTGGTAATAGTTTTTTAGTTTTCTCTATTTCATTTGATATAATTTTATTAGAATAATTAATATAAGTTTTAGATAAATGTGGCATGATTAAAATTTTCAGAAACGTCTGCTGAAGCAGTGTTGTATTATGGGAAAAGTAATCTTGTATGAATGTATTATATTGCTTAAGGGACAATGTCAGTATGTCGAAGTACACTTGCAAATATAATTTATAACATTTTTGGAGTTGAGGTATTATAAACAGCATAACATATGACATGTGACCAAGGAGGATTGGCTCTCAGAATCAAAGTCGATATTTTCCAACAATGAAAACGCCGAAATGTCATTATTTTCTGAAATTATAACCGATTATAAATTCAAAAAAATAAATGGTTCAAAAGATTTGAACCAATATCCTGATCATTCCTTGTGAGTTTTAGAATTTTTCGTTAAAAATTAAGACCAAAATTCACGATTCAAATATTGAAGTGAACATAATGGCGGCTGTTGGAATTCCAATTTTGTAGCTCGACATCCCCATATATGGGACAGAATATCGATGATGCACTCTGGGAGCCAATCCTCCTTGACATGTGACTTTGAAATGTGAATATTCAGTGAATATACAATTATGTTTTAAGGGTGGGAGGTCATTAGTGTGAAACATATTAAATAATATTTTCTTTCAACATTGAGATATTGACATGGTCTCTGATGTTGCATTTGCTATGACAGGAAACGTCTGCTAAGAACATGTTGCATTATGGGAAATGTGTATTTCCAGGTGAAAGTGATGCATAAACAGCTTCTACTCTTCCATAACGCCATAGCAGCTTATTTCTCTGGCAACCAGACTGCGTTGGAGGAGACGCTCAAACAATTCAATATCAAACTACGCGGCGGGAACATGGATGGGCCATCTTGGATAGAACAATAGATTTGATTGGTTGATGAGATATAACAAAAGATTTGATTGGTTGATGAGGCAGCTCTAAAGCAGATGCTCAAAAACATTCAACATGAAATAACTTTGTGGGAAAATAGACCGAATTTTTGGACAGGACATAAATTGATTGGTTGACAAGGCAGATTATTGATTGGTTGATCTTTTGTACAGAAATGTAACTTAGAGTGGGATCTAATGTTCATCTACATGTAGACCAGGTGATCAGGTCTCATCTTTATTAGAAAGGATTACAATATGAAATTAGCATATTTGGAGTCAATATGAAAATAACTATTTTAACACAATATGGATAGTGGGATATAGTGTATTTGGATACAATATATGGATATAGCAATTTTGGAGACAATATGAAATGGATATAGCATATTTGGATACAGTTACGGTTATTCGTAGAAATAAGTAGAAATAATGAAAGAACTTTTCAAAAAATATTTGAACATATCTGGATATATGTTAATGAGCAGACATTATTAGTCAAGCGTTGAAGAGAGCTTAATTATTTGTAGATTCATCGTTACTAACCAATCAAATCCAGTTTAACAAAGGATAATATTAATCCTTACCATCATTAACCAATTAAAACTGGTTAAAGGTTTTTTTCATGGATGTAAATGTTAACCAATCAAAACCATTCTAACAAAGGATAATAATTATTCATTATTGTTAACCAATTAAAACCAGTGTAACATAAGGAAGATATGCATCTATAGTTAACCAATCAGAACCAGTGTAACAAAGCTGAAGGATTATTCATTTTCAAGCATTTTCCAAGCTGACTAAATGCATTCATTCAAAACCGTGACAAAACCAAATCTATTGACCTATTTATCCATATATGGCGTGGGGAAATGGGAGCATATATTCCATCAGATTTCACACAGGCAGGATTTTTACTGTTTTATAAATAGTTTACGTAAACATACGTTTTTCCTGTAAAGATTAATTTTTGAACATGCTTATTAGACTAGAAGAAGGATCTAATGCTAAATTGTAAAAATCATAAGTAACGTTAAATATAACCGGAAGCAATTATATGCTTTTAGCCATGATCCCATTGAATCAATGACGTATTACATATTGAAAATTAGCCTGATATGGCTGCCATTTTAAAAAGTCAGAGTGCTCCAATGTACATTTCTCTTGAAAGTGACTGTTCGATTCTTGTCATCTGAGAGTTTCAATGCGATTTGGTACACTCGGCCATCAATGTTGTCTGTTCTTAAAATGCAATTTCCTGCGATGAAATTGAAAAAGCCTTTAGTACATTGTATGCTGGGCTTGCATTTCCCCTCGTATTATTAATTAATAACTAGTCTGTAGTTTAATTTATTTTGTTACCATATTCAAACCAACTGTGATTTTTTGATAATTATGGCTAATCATCATTTTGATTGTTCACATAATTGAAATGGTATTAGATGTATTTTTACCATTCAGCATCGAAAAAGTGTTGCGTCACAAAGTATTACCATGGTAACTTCAAAAGTCACATAATATAAAGCGGATTATTTACCATTCAGCCTGATCTCCCTAGGATCTATCCTCAACAGGGTTTTGGTCAAAATACCCCAATATTTCACCCTATGGACAGGGTGCAGCATTTCACCCTATTGGTAGGGTGCAGCATTTCACCCTATGGACAAGGTGCAGCATTTCACCCTACTGGTAGGGTGCAGCATTTCACCCTATTGCCAGGGAGCAGCATTTAACCCTATTGGCAGGGTGCATCACCCATTTGCTATAATCCTTGGGAGATACTGCCTTATATTTTATTTTTATTTCTCAGCATTAAGAAATATTTCTGTGGTATTAATGTAGGAATGTTTTTATGTTAATCGTGTTCAGTCAACTAATGCATTCAAGTCTGCGTACCAATGGACTCATTCAGTGCACAGATACACTCAATGCTGTTTACAAATGCACTCAGTTCAGTGTACAGATGCACTCTATTTTGTATATTATGCACTCAATTTAGAAACTAGGTGATATGTGCAATAACTTCATGTGATTCAATTTCACAATAATTGTTAGTTGCTTATTCTTTTCTGTTTTCATTAATGAAAAACAATGAAGTGTCAAAAAACATGTAAAACAATAGTCCCAAATGTATTGAAATTATTTTCAATAGTATGTTAGTTCTGAAAGAACTAATTTGCTTAATATCCAAGGTTACTTTTTCATCACAATACTCAAATAGAGATTTTTTATTCACTTGGCTGCTATGTGGCCAGTTTTGATTATTTAGTCATTATAACTATATCCAGAGATTCCCATTGATAAGACCATGGTTTTGTGGAAAATTGGGATCTAGGGGTGTGATAGCCTATACCTTTGTCTCTCATAGTACTGCCTATGTTGATCCCATTGAACAAACCATGGTCTTAAAGAGTAATCGTACCACTTACAGACTAGCATGTTATTTGGCAGGGGCCGATCTGGGAACCAACAAGGGGGAGGCCCAAATTTCAGGTCCAAGAAAAAAATTTTGGGCCCCTAAAACGCAAAAGTTGGCCCAAATTTTGAAATTTTGAGGCCCATTTTCTTCAAAATTTGGCCTGAATTTAAAAAATAAGGCCTTAAAAGGCCCAGTAATGACCAAAAAGGCCGACTTTTGGGGGGCCTTAAGGCTTTTTTTGGCCCAAAATTTTTTTGGGCCCAATTTTTTTTTCTGGGCCCACCCAAGGGGGGGGGGCCCGGGCCCCCAGGCCCCCCCCCCCCCCCCCCTAATCCGCCAGTGTTTGGTATGATTTATATTTTCACTTTTATAATTTTAAAATTTCTAATTTCTAAAACTCAATATTTATTTTTTTTATTAAAGTCATCCTCCGATCACAGGGCTTAAAATTCCAGAATATCTTATTTTTTACACCCTGCTATAAGCAGTTAGCATTTCCCCGATTAAGAACTCGCAATTTGATTCGCTGTCACAACACTGCAACAGCAATCATGTTAAATATGTCATTGGTGCATAATTAGATCACCTGACTCAGTTTAATCAGGCACTTCAAAATTGGTTATAGCAGGGGGGAAGAAGAAGGTACAGATTCTGGACACCTGCTTAGGAGAATGAATAAAGTTTGCTTTGAATTTTCAGTTCCGTCACTATGAATGAGCTTAAAATTTAACATTGGACATAAAACTAGACATTGTTGTTATTTATTTGAGATTGTGTTGTATTTGTGGCTGTATATACTATAATTGTAGAATAATACAACTTTATAATATGGGTGAGGGGACTGTACATTTTTGTATATATTGGTACTTTGGTAAAGGCCGTGTAAACAACTTGTCAATTTCATGATACCAAAAGTACCCTGAAATCTATAGGTCAATTTTTGTAATCTGAAAATATTTGGTTTTAGTGGTCAAAAAGTTAAGTTCAGACCCTGTAAATGTTAATTAATATGAGTATAGGCAGGTGAGGCTTTTGCCTCACAAAAATTTTACCTATGGAATATAATTTTCACATGTTTCTTTACAACTGTAACTGGGGAAATGAAATCAAAGGGTAATAATACACCTCATTTAATCTAGATTGCCTCACCTGATTTTATATCCTGGCTAGTTCTGTGTGATGAATGGTGGGGCAAAATATGTAATATTGCTGCTTATAATGTAATCAAGACTCTGTTCATCCCCCCCTCCATTCCCTCTCTAAAATTGATGTAATAGAGAGGGCCTTGGGGAGAGGGTTGAGTAAAATTCAGGGTGTGGAGTCAAGATTGTATATCAGGGCCGTCTGTCATCAATCATAAGGTGAACTCACTTTTTAGGCCACCCTGTATAGTGTTGAGATTGTATCAAGGCCCCTAGGGACAATTGAAAATACAGGGTGATCATGAAATTGCTACAAGACTTGAATTGTAATTTATTACAAATATTCTGTACAGCTTCTTATATGATTAAACCAATACACAAAACCATGTACATGAGCTGTTGTTTTGTTTTATACATGAATCCTTGTTTTGTTTTAAACATGAGTCCTTGTTTTGTTTGTTTGTTATCATGATGGTCAATTTGCTCGATATCTATCACTGACGTACATGTGTTTGTATAATTCAAAACCATCTTGTCAGGGTAACCCCTCCTCTGAGATTAAGGGGAGGATGAGCTAGGCTAACTGTATGTTATAGTTTTGCCTGACCAACCATAACTACAATCATTAACGCAAACTTTGTGAAGTTTAGAAGTCCCTAAACCAATTGTTACTATGATTATGATGACATCATCATAAGTGAAAATTTCAAAGCTTCCAAAACAATTGTTTTCGAAAAATACTAAGAACTTTGAATCTCACAATTTTTTGACTCAAGTATTTCGTTTATCAACTAACGGAAAAATATACATCTCCTTTCATTCAATAGGTATATCATTAAGTGTAACCTTTACTTATGCTTGAAGTTCAATAATGCAAGGAGTAAAAGCTAATCAAAATAACTCTAGGTAACTGCTCCACATAGTAATTAAAACTGTATACAACAAAGTATATACACATGCTAATATAATATCCCTGGTATAATATATGAGAAAAACCTTAATATGCTCATTTATAATTTTGACTTGATTCACGTTTTCGTATATGAGTCAATTATTTTTTAAAAAGATAAAAAAATTGGTTGTATCAAAGAGCAAAAGTATTTTCTGCACTGCGAATGGCATGATTTCCTCGAGTCTCTTCAGTTGCAGGGCAACCATACTGGGACCGATTCGCGTCGTTCCACTACTGCCCTTGGTGGGGGCTCGTTACCATACTGTATGACTCCCGGAGTTTACTAAAGCACGTCGGTGGAGGAACCAACCACAGTCTCACAATCTGTCTCTGGCAAGAGCGGCCAAAGAACCGACCCATGCCAAGGGCCGGAGGTTGGACCTTCGGACCGGGTGTCCTGTAGTGAAATGATCAACAACTCCGGACCTGGGACTCGAACGCGGGACCTTCGTATCCCACCGGACGTTCAACCCACAAATTAGTCTCTCTTCGCCACGAGGCTATTCTGCTCAGGTGTCAAAACTCCTAAAAAATTTGTAGTTGTTATAATTATTTTGCTTGGATAACCATGATGTAAACATGCCTTATTAGTCCAATATCTGCATGTTCAGCGTTTGCATTGAAATTCGATTCGTAGGAATCGCTATAAACTCACCTAGCTACTCTTACTGTACAGGTAGCAAAGATTCGGGTTCAATGTTTTTTTTATAATTGTATCCCAGATCGAACTATGAATATCGGGAAAGGGTAACATTCCAGTACTAATAGAAAAAAAATTATGTAAGCTTATCGCATGTCATTGCATTTTTGAGCAAATATCAATGCATTGGGTCTTAAAAATGAAAAGAGACCACAGGCCGAGCGAAAACAATGTTACGTAAAACCTATGTAGATTGCTCAAGTCAACATAAGTGAGTATATGGACTACGACTTTGAAAAATAAGCTATTT